ATTTTTTTCCTCTCTCCCCCTTCCTCTCTGAAATCAATAAAAACATACCTTTTGAAAAAGAATTGTTAGCCTAGGATAGTGGTGGGCAAACTGCGGCTCGCAAACCACATGTGGCTTGTGAGCCGCGGTTTGTCGCTCTCTTGACTAATGAGTTTGCCAACCACTGGCCTAGGAAGTCCCCGGACAATTGTAGAATTTGTGTTCAATAATCTTACTTTGTTCACTTTCGCCTCTCTTTTCCACACAGGTACCCTGGGTCTCCCCAAACTTCAACAAAAGGGTAAGGCGTCCCATAGTGAACCCGCATCAGTGAGGCCTTCCCTGGAATATGTACTGAGCATCTTCAGTTCCGGAGACTCTTACTCCTCAGCACAGCGGCAGGGGGCTGGCCATCAGCACATGGGTAGGGGTCCAGATTTTCAATGGGCGGGCGCTGCCTACACTTTTAAATAATATATTTTATTGATTTTTTACAGAGAGTTAGAGAGAGGGATAGAGAGTTAGAAACATCGATGAGAGAGAAACATCGATCAGCTGCCTCTTGCACGCCCCCTACTGGGAATGTGCCCGCAACCAAGGTACATGCCCTTGACCGGAATCGAACCTGGGTCCTTTCAGTCTGCATACCGATGCTCTAGCCCAGGGGTCTTCAAACTACGGCCCGCCAGGTTTTTTGGGCAGTGAGCGCAGCCGAGGTGTTACAGTAGGAATTAGTAGTTCATATAGTCCGGCCCTCCAGCTCTCTGAGGGACCGTGATCTGGCCCCCACTTTAAAAAGTTTGAGGATGCCTGCTGAGCCACTGAGCCAAACCGGTTTCAGCTGCCTACACTTCTGATTGGCAAGGCTGACCCGGCCCTGATTCCCCTATGGTTGTCTCGCTGTGTCTGGAACCATTCCCATTAAAGTTAGGGGAAAAGGGAGTCCCAGTTTAGTCCGTTAGACTTCTGGTTAGGGATTTTATTTGTTTTTAAAAGATGCAGCCACTGATTTCACATTAAAACAGCCCAGGACCTCTGGATATTTAAATTAAACATGCAATAATAAAAAGGTCACTTCATATGCAATTTCATACATTAATAATTAGCAGAGCATTGCTGAACTGCAAGGTAAAAAGCTATGGGAACCTAGCTAATGAACTATCAATGCCAGAGTGCACTTTCTAATAAAACGAGACGTTAATAAATGTTTTATTAAATGGCTACAAACGAACCCTTTTGTTAACATCTAATAGGGAACGACGAGGCTACTTAATTCGCATCCACCAACGAGGGCCTCGCAGGCAATTAACTTCGCAATTGCCGCAGGTCAGGGCTTCCGGGGAGAGTTACCGAGCTGCACCTTTACGTGCTGGCCGTGCAGGGTCAAGTCCACGCCTTCCCTCCGCCGCCTGGAGTCCGGCCGCAGCTGCCTCAGGCCCTGCAGCAGCCCTCGGATGGCCTGCAGGCCAACCACAGAAAGTGCAAGGAGCACTCAGCTCACAGGAAAGGACTGAGGAGGAAAACCCCATGTGCGTGCTCACTGCACAGTGCATCTGGGCACCGACTGAGATTTGTAGGCGATGGGTGATGAGGCACCAAAGACAGGTGTGTCACCACCGAGGCTTGCTTGCGTCGTACTGTGGCTGCACCTCATCAAGAACATCGACTAGCACTTGTCTTCTTTCTTTCTTTTTTTTCTTTCTTTCTTTCTTTTTTTTAAAATATGTTTTATTGATTTTTTTACAGAGAGGAAGAGAGAGGGATAGAGTTAGAAACATAGATAAGACAGAATCATTGACCAGCTGCCTCCTGCACACTCCCTACTGGGGATGTTCCGCAACCAAGGTACATGCCCTTGACCGGAATCGAACCTGGGACCTTTCAGTCTGTAGGCCTCCCAAAGCAACATGTCAGATTCATTAGAGAAAGGAAATACACGCAAGAAACTGCTGGTGAAAAAGCCTGCTTTTCAAGGAAACCAAAATAAAAGCTGTGCTACAGCAGGCAGGACAAGGTAGGAACGTCTGCTCTCCGATTTACGTCTGCTCTCCGATTTACATAAACCGACCGTCCACACAGGACTGCGATTTTCCTGGATTTATTACACGCCCCTGTGTGACCACCCGCTATCCATATCCGCTGACAGGGGAAAAGCGAAAGACACAGAGATTCTTAGCTACGTAAAGAACTTTGCACCTTATAGTTCATCTCCTTTAAAGGGCAGTTTCGGGACAGCCAGAATCAGTAAAATGAGTGTATAGGAATAATGGAAATAATTGCCGAGGAGGAGACTCTACAGTAGATGAACAACTTGCTAAAGGCAGATGCAGTGCAGATAAAGCTGTTCACGTAGCCTGAGACTGCTGCTCACTGGGCAACCTTAACAAAAAAGGAAAGTCAATGGTAAGGAAGGCCGGTTCCTCCTCTCAGGAGCCCCAGCCAAGCGAGACGAGGAAAGAAGCCACGCTCAGCCGTATCAGTCCAGGTCCGGCTCAGGCTGGTGCCACTCGGAGCCGCAAGCCGAAACGCCACGTCTTTTTTTTTTTTTTTTTTAATTCTCACCCGAGGATAATTTTTCCATTGATTTTCAGACAGAGTGGACGGGAAGGATGAGGGGGATGAGAGAGAGAAACGCTGATTGGGTGACACCTGCACATGCCCTTGACCGGAATGGAAACCAGGACCCTTCAGTCCGCAGGCCAATGCTCTATCCACTGAGCCAAACCAGCTAGGGATGAAATGCCACACCTTTTGATTAGCAATTGTTGTGAACATTAAAAAAATGAGAAAACAAAGCCATATTACAAATGAACATTTTCAGCATTTTAGACAATTTTTAGATTCATTATTTGTTATACATATATGAGATAATAACTTTGGGTAGATTTTCTACCTACGTCAATTCATAAAACCTAAGATGCAATTCCACTGATGATTCAATAACTATATTGCTCTGAAGTGGAATTTCAAAGGGTATCGCTTTGCTATCACCCTCAGCGTGATTTCTGAACATAGCGGTATCAGCTACGACTTCACACACAGCCCCAATGGGTTGCACTCTGAAGAACCACTTTCTTTCCTGACTTTTACCAACCAAAAATTCACTAGAATAACAAGAACACAGCTTATCTTCCTGCAAATTATTCCAGACCTCTTCACGCTGAGACACGGCCTTCTGGAACAGCGACCCTCCTCACGACACTGGAATTTTTGAGTCTCCTGAGCTGCAGAGAACACCCCTGAAATTAAGCATGTTTCTGATGACTCAACCGGACGTATTTCAAAAAGATTTGTCAAAGCAACGAACACCGACTACCACGCGATTATCCATAGTCACTTGTATGACCGCACTCTAAAATTCCTTCTTCCTGATAAAATGTTTCCAAGTGACAACAGTGAGTCCGCACTGATGAGTGGCCCTGCGGGCGCTAATGAATGGCATCGGGTCCAGTTAGCTCTGTGCTCGGAACCTGCGGGGGAGGGGGAGTGGGAGGGGAGGGAGAGGAGGGAGGTGCGGGGATAGGTGTGTGCACATGACTCTGCTCAGAGAGGAAATCTCCAATCTGCCGACTTCTGTACTTTCTCTTTCTAATTCCTCAGGAAGAGGGTCCACAGTAGAAAACAAAACCATACAACTGCAGCTACTCCTGGCTGGACTACAGATGAAGATACAAGAGTGCTGGGCAGTTCCCGGGTCAAGAGTAAAAGAAAAGACAGCAAGATTTTTACTGTTGGCAACTAACTGTGAGGCCCCCCTGTCAGCTCATCCTCGGGGCAAAATTCCTTCAGATGGTGCATTTAATGGCAAAAAAAAAAAATAATAATAATAATAAAAAAGGAGTTTATGCATAGTGAAACCACTGTGTTCTCAGAAGCCTGATTTCGATGCTGACACCCACAAAGGGGGTCCTCCAGGAGCAGGCGCTGTAGGGGACACTCTCCCGGGCACCCAGTCCTCTGTTTCTGGGTTTTATAGACACTAGAATTTTTGAGTCTCCTGTGCTGCAGAGAACACCCTCTAAGTCCAATAGGAACTCAGGGCGGAGCAGAACTAGATACTCCTGGGACTGTCAGGGCCATGTGGCTGCAAAGCTGCGGGTAAGAGCAATGCGGGGACCCCTCCTCTCTGCTGGGGCCACACATGACGAGCGGAGACACGGCCGCGGAGGTTCGGGCGGACAGAGGTCAAACCTCCTGTGCCTGGAGACGTTTAATAAGGAAGCGGGTCGGCTCCCACCGCCCTCCCTGGTCTGTACTTTCCTACAAACATGCTGCCGCCCTGGGCCCGCGGGTGCGGGCGTTCAGGAAACACCATGTGTGTGCAGACCGGGCCCATGGCCAGCACAGCCCCGGGCAAAGCCGGAGACGGGCTGCCCCGCAGAAGCGGGGGAAGGACTTGTGGGTGCCAGGTCGCTAGTGGCCTGATCACAGCGAGGATGAGTTTCAGAGAGGGAGCCGAGACGCTCCTCATCGGGAAGGACGGAAAGGCCCTGCCGAGGGGCGTTTCAGGAAAGAGTGGAGAGCGGGCCCCACCCGCTCAGCCTGCAGGGAACGGGGATGTCCTCACGGTCACTGACTGTGCTCAAGCACCGTGCGGGGAGCCCGCCACGCATTCACGATGGAATGGGCACAGTATGGCCGGGGAAAGTAGGGAAGTCTAGCACCAAGTAGATGCGAATCCCACTGTCCATCTCTGTCCCTGTCTAAACCTGTGTGATGATTTGTGCACAAGGAAGAACAAAACAAAAAACAAACTAACAGAACAACAACAACAACAACAACGAACGGCAGTAAGGGAGAGGTCACTGGCCCAGCAGTAAAAAGATCACCCATCACCTGGAACCGTCCTTAGAAAAGAGACAGCAGCGTGCACAAGGTTGGTAAGTTTCTTTTCCTACGAAAAAGGCTGGGCCTGTTTCACCGAAACCTGCGCCGATGCCGATGCCGTAGACGGCGCTCCCCGTGTGGCCCCACTGAGCGTGTGGCCCCCCTGAGCGGGGCCCCGCGGCGGGAGGAGTTACCTGCTCTCCAGTGGAACATTACTGCCAAGGACCCAGCTGTCCTGCAGCTGGACGGACTCGGGCGTGGTTTGCAGCTCGGCGGGCAGCGCGGCCGGCGGGGCCGGGCTGGGGTTCCTCCTGCTGGTCAGGGAGCTCCTGTGGAGGGAGGTGGCGGACGGGTGGTGCTGGGCCGCGTGCTGCTTGTGGGGCGGGGGCAGCGGCTGCAGGGTGGACTGGCCTTGGCCGTTGGCAGGTTGCTCTGAAAACGGGAAAAGAAACTCGTTACCTCTGGGTGTGGGCAGCCGCCCCGACACACGCCGCCCGTTTCGTGGGGACCCACTCGCTGCGCGTGAGTCGGGATGAAAAATGGCCTAAGAATCCATGGCCCCACACGTTTGCATATTATTCTACTAGAGGCCCGAGACACAAAATTTGGGCATGGGGTTGTGTGTCCCTCAGCCCAGCCTGGACCCTCTCCAATCTGGGACCCCTTGAGGAATATCCGATCCTACCGGGCCTACACGGGCAGTCAGACATCCCTTTCACAATCTACGACAGCTGGCTCCCAAGTGCTCTCCTGCCTGCCCTCCTGATTGCCCCTAACCACTCCCCTGCCAGCATGATTGATGCCTAACTGCTCCCCTGCCAGCCTGTTTGCCCTAACTGCTCTCCCCTGCAGGCCTGGTCACCCACAACTTCCCTCCCCTGCTGGCCATCTTGTCTCCATATATGGCAGCCATCTTTGACCACATGGGGGCAGCCATCTTGTGTGTTGGAGTGATGGTCAATCTGCATATTACTCTTTTATTAGAGAGGAGGACTAAGTGGGTATTTAGCGACATTCTCTAAGAACAGCTTTACCCTTGACACACAGAGTTCTAATTAATATACAACAGATGGCAAAATAGCTTTTGCTTCTAATTTGCTTCAGACTTTTTTTTTTCCAATCTGGTTTTATTAACACCTACAGGAAACACATCCGACAGCTCCCCTAATGCGTCTTTTGATTCCAGCTTTATTTAAACAAACCAACCCTGAAATTAAATGGGTAGTTTCGGTGGAACACAAAGGTTTTCAAAATGCGTATAATCTCTATAATTATTGGATGGCATTTTTTTAAAAGAGTTATCTAACCTCAATAAATTATCCCAAGCTCGCTGCTCGGCAGCGGCAGATCTGCTTTAGGGCATCCCGGACACGCAGGTCTGCGCCGCAACCCGCTCAGAGACGCCGAGGGCTCTCCGGCAGAAGGTGGCTGCGAAGCAGATGCTGCTTCATGGATGTTTAACAGAATCACATCTGACTACCGCGTCAGAACACACGGAGACGTAACGACCGTGACACTCATTAGGACACACAACGGAATTGCCGATTTCACAGCGGGCGGCGGAACTGAGTGCGGAGTCTGTCCTAGTGACCAGATCGGCGTGGGCCTGTGTCGGTGGTACAGAAATTCCGTCCTAACCAGAATCAAAAAGATCCAGAAAACGTCCAAATATAAACACGTTAGGCTGTCACCAGAAAAGGGTTCCCTAACGCTAGGAGGTCACGGTTAAAGTTTGCAGACTCTGAGCCATACTTTTCAATCCCATGACGTAGCTTTAGAAATGCCAGAATTCACAATACGACATTTTAGCAAGCAGACAGAGGACTCCTCAATTTCACGCTAAAACTTATTATGGCTCCCCACACAAAGATTCAATTTTTTTTTTTTACTAAATGTAGTTCAAAGGGCAATATAATTTTAAAGTGATGTATGAAGCCATGCTATTAATATAAATGCACCCATTAAAAGGGAATAGGAAACATAGGGACTATCAATATCTTTCATCTACCACGTGAACTCCAGCAGGGAGGAAGCCAAATAACACAGTCAGGCATTACGATTCTGGTCACATGAAATGAAGGCATGATATATAATAGTCTCGATATATCTTACTAAACCTCTTTACACGGTACACCAATTAAAATAAGCCCCCCCACCACCCCGCAGCATAGAATATCAGTAATCACTACCTGCTCCGATTGGTCTCAAATAATCCATTTCACATCACTTAACAAGTAATAATTTCTTACTCTTGAAACGAGGGCCTGAGATACGACCTAAATATACGAAAAAAGCTGCCTCCCGCCCAGGCTCTGTTCGTGACGATCCCCATACCAGACACTAGAGGAACCTTGCCCAGTCCACTGCTTTGAAAAATTACGTGTCCAAAACTCATTTAAATTGGAATTAGCCTTTGGGGGACACGGCAGAGTTACACTAGCACACAGTTTCCATGGTGTTAGAAAAGATGAAATGGACAGTTTAAGATTCATAGAAGATTTATCACTCAGGTACACGGAGTAATTACCTAGCTCTGCCTCCCCAGCACCCGCGCGCGTGCATGTGCGTGTCCTTAAGGGACATTTCAAGCTGGGTGCTGGACAGAATAAGCCATAGTTACGGGGCCTAGACCGGTGGGTCAATGGAATGGAAACAGGGAAAAGTATAAGATTGTGTCTAAAAGGAAGAAGAGGGTGGGTCAGTGACTCCGTGTTTTTATTTTTTTAAATTTATTTTATTTATTTATTTATTTTTAATATATTTTACTGATTTTGTACAGAGAGGACGGGAGAGAGATAGTTAGAAACATCGATGGGAGAGAGTCATCGATCAGCTGCCTCTCGCACACCCCCTACTGGGGATATGCCCGCAAACAAGGTACATGCCCTTGACCGGAATCGAACCCGGGACCCTTCAGTCCACAGGCTGACGCTCTATCCATTGAGCCAAACTGGTTTTGGCGACTCCGTGTTTTTAAGCACGGTGCTATGAAAGAGTGGTACTGTAAAATACATAATGTATTCTATATCTCACATATAGAATTACAGTAATTTATTCCATGTAACTCTATATTACATATACTGTATACTAGAGGCCCGATGCAAGAAATTCGTGTGAGGGGCTCGGCCCTCATAGCCGCGGCTTCGTCCGGAAGGTTGTTTGGCTGTCTAGACTAATTAGCATATTGCCCTCTTATTAGTATAGATGATCTACAGGGTGTCCCAAAAATGCATACACACTTTAACAGCTTACAGGTCAATTCTGAAAATGAAATGCATTTTAATAAACACTGCCGTTGTAATGATTCAAAGTGTGGGTATGCATTTTTGGGGAATACTCTGTGTAGAATAAATTATAGGTACGGTATTACCAAGCATAAAGGAAGGAGCTGTGTAGCAGCAGCCACAATGCCACATTAATTTCTAACTCTGTCAGCATGGTAGGGGGCCTCAGTTTCCTCATCTGTGAGAGGGAAGTCACACTGCCCCATCCAGCTTTTAGTGCAATCTAAGGACTCAATGAAATACACTCACTCACTCATTTATTCTCCCAGCCATCCTGCATAAAGACAGCAGGCCTCCGTGTTCCAAGGGCATGCTATTAATAACAGGGGAAGCACTGGGTCAAGGGGAAGGCATTAGGAATGTTCAGACGGTTGTGAATGAAATGATTTTAAGATATACTATCATCGGCCGAAACCGGTTTGGCTCAGTGGTAGCGCGTCGGCCCGCGGACTGAGGGGTCCCGGGTTCGATTCCGGTCAAGGGCATGTACATTGGTTGCAGGCACATTCACAGAAGGGGGTGTGCAGGAGGCAGCTGGTCGATGTTTCTCTCTCATCGACGTTTCTGGCTCTCTATCTCTCTCCCTTCCTCTCTGTAAAAAATCAATAAAATATATTTTAAAAAAAAGATATATTATCATCGTCAAATATTTCAACAAGTTGAACTTAAGATTCTCAATCTTTTTTTTTAAATTTTTTATTTAAAAAAAAAATTTTTTTTATTGATTTTTTACAGAGAGCGAGAGAGATAGAGAGCCAGAAACATCGATGAGAGAGAAACATCGACCAGCCGCCTCCTGCACACCCCCCACCGGGGATGTGCCCGCAACCAACATATATGCCTTTAACCGGAATCGAACCCGGGACGTTTCAGTCCCCAGACCGATGCTCTACCACTGAGCCAAACCGGTTTCTGCGAGATTCTCAATCTTAAAGCAAATAAAAAGATGCCTGCCCGGCCGCCTGAGCCAGCCCTCAGGAAGGAGTTCCTGGGCCCTATTTCAACCAACAGGGCGGAGGCTCTCTCTGCCCAATCAGAGCTCCTCAGCTCTGATCAGTACAAGCATCTCTATTCTGGCCAATCGGAGCAGTGCCTTTTGCACCAATCTAAGTTTGAGGATTTAGAGTCCTCATTTGCATGAGGATGGACCCATCAGGGGCCAAGGGTGGGGACTTCTGTCCACATAAGCCAGCTCTCCGCTGCTCTGGAGACTCAGGTTCTCTGCAGCCTGGCTAGGCTGGCACCCGCCGTGCCTCAGGGGCAGCCCAGGGCCACGCAGACCAGCGAGGAGCAGCGCCGGCGGCGGCTCTGTCCCTCAGCTGTGCATGTCACTGCGGAGCTGCTTCGCATTGAACTCCCTCCTTCTTGGGGGGTTCCTGTTGACACTGGATCGGCGCCAACAAGCACCCGTTAACAGCTGTGACTACAGTGGCCAGAGGACAAATCACAGCCAGCTTTTCATCTTTCAGTCCATTCTCAGCGAGCCCAGTGATCTCGCAGAGGAAGTGCTTTCCTGGATTTCCTGACGGGGAAATCTACTGACGCCTCCTTCCTCCTGCTCCTTTTCAGGATTTATTCGGAAGGATGTGTCTACATCCAAAAACGTTATGACCCTGAAAATAGTGAATTCAATAAAAAGACGTCTCCTTTGCCCAGAAAATATCATGTGTATTGCAGGCTGCTTCCCTGGGAAGGAAAAAAAGTAAATAGCAGGAGTTCTCCTCATACACGGGGAGAATCTGAGTTAGGGAAACATGTGATTTCAGCAAGACTGCAACACAGCTGAGCTCCTAGCAGAGCAAAACATGTAGACGGTCAGCGTGCTTTCTCCTCCCCTCTCCCACCTGCCTCCCACATCCTACGTTAACAAGATAACCACCTGCCGTGGCTTAATGGAAATTGGGAAGGAAAGACCTCGCCTCACTCAGAAAATCACGTTCACACAAACCTGCTCCTCTGGATCATTATTTTACCCAGGGATCCTCACACAAACCAAGTATTCGGAAATGGACTGTGCACTGACGGACCTCTGCAGGTCTCTGGTTAAAATAGGGCCCTGCGTAAAAATGTCCACCACCCATTGTCTGCCACAGACGTTTCAGATGGTTGCATACAAATCAAATGAAAATTTTTAAAGATGTGCATTAA